TGAGCACGGCTGCCCCACAGCTGATCCTCTTGTGTATCTGACTCTCAGAAAATCAACTCTTCTCTCTCTTCCTGAGTTTTTATTCCTGTATAGGAGAGAAACCATGGCTTCTGGCACTGGGTTAAACCTAAACTTAGTAAAAAAATAAATTTCTCTTTTTGGTGTGCAATAGCATTGGCCACTTATAATGACAGTACATTAAAAAATCCAGCTCATAATTAAAACAGCCTTTTTATTTTCATTGGTAAATTAATTTCCCTTGGGCTGCCAGTTGTGAGGGTCCTACTCAAAGAAATCTTCTTTGCCAGGTCAGTGTACACAAATAGAAAATGTATAGATTTAACCAACTGAATCTAGAATTTACATGGATTCTCACCCAAACAGATCTGTGTATGGGAAAGTAGGTCACTCCTCCTCCTGAAGGTCTTTCCATGCTCAACACATTTATGGATTCTCCCCTGTGTGGATCCTGTTATGGGAAGTAAGTTCACTCCTAGTACGAAAGCTCTTTCCACACTCCATGCATTTATATGGTTTCTCCCCTGTATGGATCCTATTATGGTAAGTAAGGGAATAACTATGACTGAAGCTCTTTCCACAGTCCATGCATTTATATAGTTTCTCCCCTGAATGGATCCTTTTATGGGAAGTAAGTTCACTCCTAGTACGAAAGCTCTTTCCACACTCCATGCATTTATATGGTTTCTCCCCTGTATGGATCCTATTATGGTAAGTAAGGGAATAACTATGACTGAAGCTCTTTCCACAGTCCATGCATTTATATAGTTTCTCCCCTGAATGGATCCTTTTATGGGAAGTAAGTTCACTCCTAGTACGAAAGCTCTTTCCACACTCCATGCATTTATATGGTTTCTCCCCTGTGTGGATCCTGTTATGGGAAGTAAGTTCACCCCTAGTACGAAAGCTCTTTCCACACTCCAGGCACTTATATGGTTTCTCCCCTGTGTGGATCCTGTTATGGGAAGTAAGTTCACCCCTAGTACGAAAGCTCTTTCCACACTCCAGGCACTTATATGGCTTGTCCCCCGTGTGAATCGATTTAT